AGCATAATAACCTCACTAAATATATATATATATATATATATATATATATATAATATGTATATATGTATGTATGTATCTGCTGGTCCACTAGCATGAGGGGCCCAAAATGGCTCAGCAGTAGTCACAACTTCAAGTTCAGTGGACCCCTTAGTGTGTTCCCTGATGGGAGCAGTCTCCCCATGGAAACCACAGTCTCTAACCTAGCAGAGCCCAGGATGGTGGGAGTGGGAAGCCCACATTCCACACGTGGTCCCTTGGGGTTAGTGAGAAGTCACTCCTTGGTTTGCACGCCCATGGATTCTGGCTCTTGGGGAAAACGGCAGCCCATGTCAGCTTTAATTCAGTGAGACACCGCATCTTGGAAGATGGAGACCCAACCCTGCAGAGTGGTTTTCCATACTTGCACTGTAGCTGAGCCTTCAACAGGTCATTCCACGATTCTGTCAGGCTGGCTGCTTCTGAGTGATGTGGTTGTGGTGAGATCAGCAACTCCCACAGTCGTGAGCCGATGTTGCATCTGTTTCTCTTGGTCCAAGACCGTGCTGCATGCGATGCTGTGTTGGTGAATCAGGCACTTGATGGTAGTGCTGGCACAGGCACTGTGGCGGGAAGGCACACCCACATCTGGAGTGCACATCACTTCTCGTAAGGAAGGATCTGTGTGTTATCTCACAGTTGGAAGAGATCCAGTTCTACTTCCTAAACACTTCGCTAGTTGCTGTTGAGACCCAGTGGAGCCGTTCTACTCCGTAACCCATGGGGCTGTTGAGACCCAATGGAGCCGTTCTACTCCGTAACCCATGGGGTTGTCATGGGTCGGAATCCACTGGAAGGCAAAAAGTTTGTTTTTGGTCCCCAGTCACTCTACCCACTCCAAGATAGTGTATTGTCCACTTTTGTTTCCCCAAATATTTTCTTTTTATCCACTCCCTCAGCCCCCACTGTGTTTTCCAGAGTTGGAACTCTTGTTGGTAGAGTGTGTCTACTGGTGAAGTCAAGACTGTCCCGAAGGTAAGAAGCATTTAAAAAGATGGGGCAGTGTCCTGTTTCTTTCTCATTCTCTGAACTAGACTATCAAAATGCAATTTCTACCTTCCCGGTATTTTTCTACCACATTTGCCTTTTGGAAAGGAAATTTAGCCCTCAAATATCCTGGGAGATCCTATGCTAGTTTTGAGAATTCAGTGAAGATTTTAGGTTGTATACAAGCTTGTCTGGAAGTATGTGCAGAAATACAAAACGATGTTCCTAACAAATAGTTTATATTTGTTTTCTGATATACATATATAGGTATAATTTTATTGTGCTTTAGGTGAAAGTTTACAGAGCAAGTTAATTTTTCATTCAAAAATTTATACACAATTTGTTTTTTGATATTCGTTGCAATCCCGGCAATGTGACAGCATCTCCCCCTTTCCCCCCAGGGGTTCTCCGTGTCCATTCGTCCAGTTTTCCTGTCCAGGAAATCTGTTAGTTGAGTTGCCGCTAAACCCTCTATCTGCTCATTCTCTTAATGAAGGTGAACATTTACCACCTCGTGGAGTGAGTTTGGATAAACACTCGAAGAAGGAGGTTTCCGGGGCTGGGACAAGCGGAGAGCAGCGGGCGGCCTGTACCAGTCCAGGCCTGCGCGGGCGCGGCGCGCACCTGCGGGGAGGAGGCGGGCGCGGCGCGGTGCGGGGCTGCAGCTGGCGAGAGCCGGGGGTGGCTGAGGCTGGAGCCGGCCTGCGTTAGGGCAACGGAAGGGCAAAGGCGATCCGGCTGGGCTGGGCCGCCGCCGAGGGGGCGCGCGAGCTCGGGTTTCCGCAACCGAGTGTTTACCCTGCATCCTAGCAACCGCCGGGGCTCAGCGGGGCCGCGGCGTAGGGCCCCGTGCGGGCGCGGAGCTGAGCGGCGGCAGGTGAGGGGAGCCCAGGGCGCCAGGGGGTGGGAGGCGGGGGAGGGTCTCGCTGCTGCCGGGGTCTGGGGGACCCCCGGCAGGTGGCGACCCCGCTGCGAGCGCGCGCGCGACACGCCGCCCCCGCGGGACCTGCCCGCGCCAGCCGCGCGCCTGAGGCTTTGCAGCCGTAGGAGTTGTTCCAGAAAGGCCCCGCTGCTTTCCTCTCGCTGTCTTCCCTTTCTGGCCCGAGGTCCTCCTCTTCCTCTTCTTTGTCCCACCCCTCTGCCCCCTACCTCCCCGCTGGAACCCAGAACTTTCCAGGCCTTGCACCTCTGCCCCTCGGACCCCGCGCCCCCTTTCCACCTTGCGGGTTCCAAACCTCTTCCTATATTCACTCGGCTTCCCTGACCGCTTCCCTGAGTCTCAGCCCTTCCGTTTCTCCCGTTTCCTTTCCCCTCCGCCCTAGCAGCGTTGCGTCCTTCTCTCTTAACTTGGTCTTCACCACCCGCTTCGCGCGCCGCGCCCCCTACCCCCCAATCCCTGTGGTCCAGCTCAAACGCCTTAGTTCTTTGACGCGTCGGATTTATGCCATCTTCCAGTAGCTTCTCTCGGGGTCAGGGTTTGATTCTGTTTAGGGCCCAGTTCATGTCATCTGAAATTTTAATTTTTTCTGCAGATTTTCCTGAATAGCTTTATCCTCAGAATGCTGGTGTGTGAGCCGGCTCCCAATTGATGTGACCAACCACGTTTATCTCTCTCAGAGAGTGGACACTTACTCTGTACCTCACCGTTTTGGTTTTGCTTCTCCTTAAATGTTACAGAAATTATTCACGGATGGGTTTTATTTTGTATTAATGTTACTGGAAGTTTGAAAATGACCCTTTAAAAAAGCACAAATTCCGTATCTATTTTGATGGTAGGAAAAAAAGAGTATAAAGTCATTCTCGGTTTATGTGAACAACCCCACACACACACAAACTTTTTTCTTTTAATAGGTAAATGTTTTTCCTGTAAAATCTTACTTCTGATTCAAAGTTGCGCGCTGTGTATTCACATATGTCCCAGCTATGGAATGGCTCTCATGGATTGGTAGTGGGTAGTAACTGAAAAGCGGCAGTCTGATAAAAAGTTAAGTTTTTGTGTTTTTATTTGAGTTATACTGGTCATTTTCAAACACCACTGGAAGTAGTGGAATAAATGCCATACCTTTGGTTCTCTTGGCAAATTAAGAAGCCATCAGAAATTTCTACTCAAGAAGAAAAACACCCAATTACCTTATTTTTAAAAAACTCATTCACTTAGACCTGCAAAGCCCCTCTTCTTCTTCTTTTTAACCATTTTCTGCAAGGTCTCTTCTATTTTGGGATCTTGTCCACATTTTTTTTTTGTATGTATGGTGCTTGCCTTCTGGGTTGTCACAAGCCTCACGCTGGTTTTCCCAGGCCTTCTGCTAAGCAGCCTTCTTGAATAAAGCCTGTCATGTCTTCATCTCCTGGTTCACAGGACTCCAAAAAACAGTGTGAATAACCTCAGTTATAATCTGCACTTACAGCTCTGTAACCGTTTATCACAACTGAAAGAACAACGTTTTGCGTTTCTTTGCTGCTTTTTGAGGGTCTTCTAAGATGTTGCTATGTGGAATGTTGACTGCCACAGTGTTATGTAATGTAATTTCACATTTTTCTCTGAAAAGGTAAAAGAAGGTGGTGCAGTGGGTAAGAGCTTGGCTGCCAAGCGAAAAGAAAGGTTGGCAGTTCGAATCCACCAGCCGCTCTTTGGAAACCCTATGGGGTAGATTTTGCTTTGTCCTGTAGGGCAGCAAGGAGTTGGAATGGTGACGAGTTTGGTTTTGGTTTTGTCTTTACAAGATCACTAAAACAAGTGTTACACTTGAGGTTGAACGCAAACAGACCTGTCCACTTAAGCCGTTCTGAATAAGTTAAGACTTTTTATCCTTAACTTTCTGAAACTGAGGAGTGTCGCACACGTGTATCAGCACGTGCTTATGTGTTCAGAATCTTCATCATTTTCCATGAACCAGCCGTAGAAGCGAAACCCTGGGGTACTAAAACAAATGCAACAAATAAAAGGGACAAATTTGTACCTTAATTCTGTATATATTAGTTCACTAGCACCTGTCTGGAGCCCTGGTGGCACAGTGGTTAAGAGCTCAGTCTACTAACCAAAAGGTTGGCAGTTCAAATCCACCGGCCGCTCCTTGGAAACCCTATGGGGCAGTTCTTCTCTGTCCTGTAGGGTCGCTGTGAGTTGGAATCAAGTTGACGGCACACAGCAACAGCCAGCACTTATCTAGATGAGCAGTTCTCAATCCAATCTCATCTAATACTCAGTTTTATAACATGTTTTGTAATGCCTGCTTTACTATTCTGAAATAGAAATCATGGCTGATAATCCTACCTATGTACATAGTTTTAAAGATCAATATAGTGCTTTCGCTGTAAAATACAATTCAAAGGACAGTAGTTGTAATAAAGTATCAGTTGGTAAATGGTTGGGTGCCTCTACACTGGAGTGTATCAGGAAGCCGTCGGATGCCCGCGGCCTTAGGTAGAATTACTGTGCACACAGCAGCTCCAAATGCAGGCTGACGCAGGCGTGTAGACTCCACAGTGGTTGGCTTTTTGTTTGTTTGTGAGGGTTTGAGGGCTCAGGGAACGTTATCTTTTCTAGTGAATTGAAGAACAATTAAAAAAAACCCAAAAACCAACCTGTTGGCTGTCGAGTTGATTCCAACTCGTGGTAACTCCATGTATTAGAGGAGAACTGTGCCACAGGGTGTTCTTGGCTGTAATCTCTATGGAAGCTGATTGCCAGGCCTTTCTTTGGTGGTGCTGCCAGGTGGGTTCAAACCATCAACCTTTTAGTTGGCAATTGAATGCTTAACTGTGTATGCCAGCCAGGGACCTTCTGAAGAGTTATTGGATAACTAAAAAATGAATCTCTAAGATTAATTAAGCAGAATGTGGGTTTGGGTAGTACTAGCTGAGAAACTTCAAAATGCAGAATGTTCTTAGAAAAGTCGGGTGCTGTGGTCTCTTTCTAACTTTCTCCTCTGATGTAGCGTGTGCGCTGAGCTCAGATTGGAGCATTCTCGGAGGCCATGGGTGTGACGCTGACAAAGTCAGCCCAGTGGACGGCTGCTGGACGTGGGCCCGCCACCTTGGAAGTCACTCCACTAAATGAAGCCATACTGCAAGAAATTATTGTCTTTGTGGAGAGTTTTCTCTACATGTATCCCCGAGAGGCAAAGTTCGTTTTCGTAGAGCCACTTGGATGGAAAACAAGTTTGGAGCCCTTGGCATTTGGATCAGGTTATGTCGTCAGGTAAACCAGTTAACTGCTTCTAGAATTGACTGTTTCATTGTTCCTGTTTTTATTGATTGGTTGTACATTTGGGGTAAGTCACTTAACCACTCTGAAACTCAGAAATCTTCTCAACCCGGGATTGCAAACTGGTGGCCCTTAGGTGAAATCAGGAGACATTTTGTTTGGCCAATGCCCTGTTTACCTATTTTGTAACATTTAATTTGAATTGCTTTTGATAGGGGATGTATCCTCCAGGTGACCGCACTGCTGACGTTCCATGTTGCTTTATAGCTGCCTTTCTGCTCATCTCTTACCTGACAGACCCAGGAGGCAATGGTTTTGTGACCTCTGACCTAGAAAATCCCTCAGCTGTTTAAATCTGTCCATTCCTAGCAGCGTCAGGGGAGGGTGGAAAGTTTTGCTGCATATAAGGGTGAGAATTCTTAGCAATTGGAGCTGTCCCCAAATGAGAACTGGTAAAAACTTTCCAAATCTGAGACAAAAAAAATCCTGCTTCTACATCTGCCTCTAACAGTGAGCCATCAATTTCTGCCGTTCTGAACTTGATACGTAGATACATATATATATAGAAACGTATGTGTGTGTGTATATGTACGTCTGTGGATATGTGTGTGTGTATGTGTATTTGTACATGTATGTGTGTGT